CAGTGATACTTATTCTTCCTTCACTATGGCTACTGCACAAGCAGGGGAAGCAGTACAAAATGTCATAGATCATATGCTTCATTGCTTTTCTATTTCTGGTGTGCCCTCAGTTTTAAAAACTGATAATGGCCCTGCTTATGTTTCTCATGCATTTCGTACGTTCTGTCTTACGTTTCATATTCACCACATTACCGGGATTCCTTATAATCCTACCGGTCAAGCAATTGTGGAAAGGAAAAATAGATCTCTTAAAACATTTCTTCAAAAGCAAAAGGGGGAGAAGCCAGGGGTAGGCCACGAAGACAATTGGCTCAAGCAGTATATGCTTTAAATTTTCTTACTCCTGATAGAGAAGGCTGTACCCCAGCTGAAAAACACTTTAGATTACATAAGGGGAGTAATTATGAGGAACAAAAGACTCAAAAAAGAGTCATGTGGAAGGACCCAAAAACCAATCATTGGTTTGGACCAGATAGATTATTGACCTGGGGACGAGGGTATGCTTCTGTCTTTCCAGATGGTGCAGAAGGACCAATATGGATCCCTGAACGTAACATCAGAATCTGTCTCAGAGATGACCCGGAGGTTTCAGAAACTTCAAATACCAAAGAGGAAAAAGGACATAAGAAAACGGAAGCAGCGCCAGAGGCGACGGCGAGGAGCAAGCTCGGCAGGATGGCTGCTGCAACTGATGATGCTGTTACAAACAATGACTATTGAAGCAAAGACTTTACAGCTTTGGTCATACATTAACAACCCCCCGTGGCCGAGACTACTCACGTGGGATGATCCAGTTATTGACATTATACCCGCAGGACAAGCGGCAGAAATTTTTGGACAAAGGGATTGGAGAATTAAAGACTTAGAAATGAAGGATGTTTTAGGATACAATTTTAAAGGCAAAACTGGCACACCCCCAATATGTTTTGGAATTAATGTAGACTTTATAGATTATTGTGTTAAGTTAGAAAATATTACTCACTCTGCTCAATTTGTTCCTAGGGGAATAGTTTGGAATATATCTATGTTTGGTATGGAAACTACTAGATCTGTGAAAGGGCCAGCTCATCTTTCTCCCTGGCCAGATTGTTCTAATATCTCTGTATCGTCAGCATGGCATAAAATTCCACCTTGGGTAAAATGTCATACTCAGTATAGGGGTGTAGCTAATTACAAGTGGGAAAAATTTGAAATATGGAATAAATTAGATCATGATATTGAGGGTGCAAGACAGGGGTGGATTATGCCAGGAATTATCAATAAGAATGGTGTACATCAGGAAAAACTTTGGTTAGCAATGGCAGCATTTGATCCTATATACTTACATGCTGCCACTCCCTTTAAACCTGATATTGCTCTTTTTTATAATAGAACAAAGCTAGTTGCCTGTTTACCCAGGCATCAAGCATTTCTTTTGGGAAGACCCAACATCACACTGACACCTGATGGGTATTATAAAATTGTATGCAAAAATTGTGTAGTAAATAGATGCTTATATTATGCACATGGAACTTGGGAATTTGTAGCTATGATATTAGAAAGACCTAAATATTCTATATTTCCTACTCAAGTACAGGAGGGATGGTTTTTAGCTCCTGCTGATCAAACATTGTACTATCTTAATCGAGAGATTTCTGTTAGAAAAAAGAGATGTGTCCAATGTGTCGTTTGGGGAGTTGTGTCCCTGGTATCACTTATCTCATCCCTTGTTGCATCTGCAGTAACATTTCATACATTTACACAGCAAGTGCATGATGCACAATACACTGAAGCATTGGCTAGGAATGTGTCATTGGCACTTCACACACAAAAGGAAATTGATTTAGATTTTGAGAGAAAATTGGATGCATTAAAAGATGCTGTGGAATTTATTGGGGATGAAGTTGCAGAAATAGAATTTAGAGCTACTTTAAAATGTGATTATCGCTTTACTATGGTATGTGTTACTCCTTTTCCATATAATTCTAGCATTGTAAATTGGAACATGGTTAAGAATCATTTAGAAGGTGTTTGGCATAATAGTAACCTTTCTGCTGATTTGTCTTTTCTTGCTAACATCACCCAGGTGATTGTAGATAGTCACTCCCCGGGGATTAACCCAAAAAATCTGGCTGTAGAGATCCTGAAAAAATTAAGTGAGACCAATATATTTAACAATTTACCTGCCTTGTTACTTCATGCATTTTCTTGGGCAATATTATTCATCATATTATGTTTCATTGTCCCCTGCATGGTTACCTTAATTAAATCAAGGATCACAGTGTTGGGAACGGATGTTCATCACCTCAAGCTCCTTGCTAATTCGAGAAGGGAGGAAGTTGTTGAGGGCCGATCTTAAGAGTCTGGTAAGGGCTTAAGATCCAAGGCAGAGTTTGACCTCTGCTCAGGCTTTTACCCAAAAGGGCTCATGGATTAAGTGGTACGGCTCCCCAATTCCTTCCTGATAATGAGGTCTCTGAGACATCCCTTCTCTCTCTCTTTGAACCTTAGATTTACATATTTACTCCCCTATGCAGGTGGCGCCAAGGTGCCTGGGAAAACCTTGGAATCTACAGCCCAATCTAGGAACCCTGATGAGGAGGAAATTCATGATTGTCCCATGTTCAGCAGATGTTCTGGGGAGTATCTCATGGGGAGGACTCTTTGAAGTTAGGCTAGATCTTCCCTATATATTCTGTGCCCTCAGATGAATAAACGGAGTCAGTCATTCTACTCCGCCTGGCCCATGGCATAAGTTATTTCACGCCTCTCCGTTCGGTGCACAATCTGGTTGCGGGCAACAGCTTTTCTCATGAGCATTCCCTGGTACCTTAGCCGATTTGTCAGTGTGATTTTCTTTTAATGATCTCTCTTTTTTTTTTTGGCAGTTGGGGTTAAGTGACTTGCCCAGGGTCACACAGCTAGTCAGTGTCAAGTGTTTGGTCTAAGGCTGGATTTGAACTCAAGTCCTCCTGACTTCAGGGATGGTGCTCCATCCACTGCACCACCTAGCTGCCCCTTTAGTGATCTTTTCAACGCACATGGCAATATGTTGTTCTCTTGCATCTGCTTAGCTCATGCTGCATCAGTTCATATAAAATTCAGAGGAACAGACTGGTCAAGAAAGAGAAATAAGCAAACATAGCAGGCCGCTGCCCCAAATTCGAGAACATAAATGCCCAGGTGAAAAACTATTACTTTCTTTTCCTTAGAAAATCTGATTAGCAATTTGGTGGAAGCTTAGTTCAGACTCACACCTCACACTTTTGTTGTTGTTCAGTTGTTTTTCAGTCACATGCAATTCTTTGTGATCCCATTTGAGGTTTTCTTGGCAGAGATACTGGAGCAGCTTGCTATTTCCAGTTCATTTTACAGATGAAGAAACTGAGGCAAACAGGGAAAAGTGACTTGCCTAGGGTCACACAGCTAGTAAGTGTCTGAGTTCATTTTACAGATGAAGAAACTGAGGCAAACAGGGTAAAGTGACTTGCCTAGGGTCACACAGCTAGTAAGTGTCTGAGGCCAGATTTGAACTCAAGAAGATGAGTCTTCTTGATTTCAGGCATGGCACTCTATCCTCTGGACAACTTAGCTGGCCTACCTTACAACTGACATGACCTTAAATCCGAAAATTTTAACCCGATTACAATGGGACACATCATTAAAGGTCAGAAGAGAAGGAGATTGGGCACTTTGTGTAATTGTAGGAATAGGAGGATTTCTTATTGTGGAAGCGAAAGGATTTAGTGAGGATGAAAACTTTTAAACAAATGAGTATCCATGAAACTTCTTTTAAAAAGTTCAAAACAGAACAGAAGGTTCAGGAAAAAATAAAGTGAAAGAAAGAACCACCTTAGAGAAATATTTTATATACATTTTTACATTTCTTTTTAAAAATAAATTTTATTGCTTTTTTTTACAACACCATAATTTTCCCCTTTATTCCTCCCCTTCTTCAAGAATCATATGATATTAACAATTTTTTTTTTTTTGCTTTTAGGCAATTGGGGTTAAGTGACTTGCCCAGGGTCACACAGCTAGTAAGTGTCGAGTGTTTGGTCTGAGTCCGGATTTGAACTCAGGTCCTCCTGACTTCAGGGCCGGTGCTCTATCCACTGCACCACCTAGCTGCCCTGATTAACACATATTTTTAAAGAGAAAAAAAGGAAAAAGGGGGAAATCAGGAAAATTGATAAACAGATTTTTAAAAATCTGAAAACATATGCAATATACCCCACTGTGGATCTTCCATTACTGAATAGCAATAAAAAATAAATTCAATAGATGGAGAAATACTTAGTGCAAATGGCTGGGCCATGCTAATGTGAGAAAAACAACAATGTTAACAAGGTTTATTTCCAGATTTAATCTTATACCAATTAAACTATCAAAAAGATATTTTAAGAGACTTGACAAAATAACAGAATTCATTTGCAGAAACGAAGGATCTAAAATATGAGGGAAAATAGTGAAAAAAAGGTAGGGACGAAGAGGGGAATAACATATCCAGACCTCAAATTACAGCACAAATCATCAATCTTCAAAGTCATTTGGTGTCGATAAAAAAAAAAAACTAAGCCAGAGAAGTAGATCAGTGAAATAGCCTAGACGTGGAAGAATCAGAAATAACCAGAACCCAGTGTTCAATAAATCTGAAAAACTATCTATTTCACTAAAAACTGCTGGGAAAACTAGAAAGAAGGCTGACACCAAATTATTATACCTTATTCAACTATAAAGTCTTGGATACATACTCTTAATATTAACATCATAGTATTAAAAAATTAGAAAAGGAGATCATATAGTTTTCACAGCTACGGAGAAGAGATGTATTCTCAACCAAACAAGGGATAGGGCCATTACAAAAGATAAAATAATATATTTCTTTAAAAACCACAAAAAGTTGTATGTGATGGGAATTTGTATTTCTATGCATAATCCTTTTTTTTTAAATGGAAATGCTTGTTTGCTGGTATGTTGTCAAGCACATAATAAGAAAAAAAAACCAAACAAACCCAAAACCAACCCACATTTTACTAAAAAAAAAAAACCAACCTAAAGGAACTGTCCAAGAAAAATAATCAAAATATTCATAGTTTTTTGTTCACAGTCTAAGTAAGATTAAAAGGTCCACTATATATTAACATATTAACAGCAGCAATTTTTGTTGTAGTCAGCACATCAGATAAAGAGGTTGCCGATCAATTGAGGAATGGCTGAAGATTTATGGTCTATGAATATGCTAGAATATTATTGTGTAGCAAAAAATGGTGAACATGAGAATTTTTATTTAATTCATTACGTCTTATAACTTCATGAACAATTAGAATTTTCTGGTATCTTTTAAGGTCTTCTCTCCAGTTGAAAGTATTTCCACTTCACATAGCCTCAAGGTTTCAGTCCAGTATGAATTCTCTCATGTACAGTAAGAAAAGACTTCCGAGTAAAGGTCTTCCCACATTCATGGCATTTATAGGGCTTCTCTCCCGTGTGAATTCTCTGATGTGCAACAAGATTTGCACTCCAGCTGAAGGATTTCCCACATTCATTACATGTATAGGGATTCTCTCCAGAATGAATCCTATAATGTGCCATAAGGGATGACTTCTGGCTGAAGGCCTTCTCACATTCATTACATTTAAAGGGTTTCTCTCCAGAATGAATCCTGTGATGTGCCATAAGGGATGATCTCTGTCTGAAGGCCTTTCCACATTCATTACATGTATAGGGCTTCTCTCCAGAATGAATCCTGTGATGTGCCATAAGGGATGAGCTCTGTCTGAAGGCCTTTCCACATTCATCACATGTATAAGGCTTTTCTCCAGTATGAATCATCTGATGCACAGCAAGATGGGAGGAATGTCTGAAAGCCTTTCCACAATGATTACATTTGTAAGGTTTCTCTCTAGTATGAATCCTCTCATGTACAATAAGCTTTGCTCTTTGAATGAAGGCTTTCCCACATTCATTACATTTATATGGCTTCTCTCCAGTGTGAATCTTCAGATGTTCAGCAAGGTTACAAGGCTTCTGGAAAACGTTTCCACACTGATTACATATGTAAGGTTTCTTTCCAGTGTGGATCCTCTCATGTATGATAAAGTTTGCCCTCCATCTGAAGTCCTTCCCACATTCATTACATTTATAGGGCTTCTCTCCAGTGTGAATCCTCTGATGTACTGCACGTTGGGAGGGCTTTCTGAAAACCTTTGTACAATGATTACATTTGTAAAGTTTCTCTCCAGAATGAATCCTCTGAGGTGAAATAAGGGGTAATCCCTGGGGGAAAGCCTTCCCAAATTTATTGCATTTACAAAGCTTTTCTGGTCTGTGAATTTTCTGAGTTTTTATAAGATCTACTCTTTGAAAATAGGTATTCCCACATTGATTACATTCATGCAATTTCTCTCTAACATGAGCTTTCTGATGTAAACTAAGAGATAAGTGATGGATGAAGCCTGTGCCATCTTCATTACATTTAGAAGGCATTTCTCCAGGAAGACTTTTCTGATGACTAATAAAGTCTGGGATCAAATTGAAAGTTGTCTCACAGTGATTATCCTGAACTTTCACTCCCACATGCTTCTCCTGACACTGAATGAGTTCTATCTTCTCTTTAAAGCAGCCCCTACATTCACTATATTTGGAATGTCTATTCGCTGAGGTGAATTTCTTACATTGAATTAGGTTGGAATATTGTCTGAAGCTCTTTTGACTTTTGTCATATTCATGGTGAATCTTCCCTATGGGAACTCTGTGGACAGAAAGGGTTGAATTCCTCTTAAATTTATTATATGCATCATCTCTCTCTTCACCTGGAGTTTTCCTGAGGATCATTTTCAATTGTCTGGAAGGACTCCCCCAGTTATGTTGCCTCTTCTCTAGCTTGATATCACAATGCCAGGATTCTTTCAAATTGAAATCACAGGAAATACTCAGCTTTGGAGAAGTTTCCTTGGTCTGAGGTATGGTTCCCTCATCTGAAAGACAGAAATGATAGAAAGAGAGCTTCTTACTTCTAAGAGCAGAAAGAAAGCTGATTTAGACTTAGTGTCACTTTGGTCTCCTCCCTAGTCTCTTGCCTTTCTTCTTCCACCTCATCCTGGAACTGAAACACATCTTGGCTGACCAGGCCGGTGATTCCTTTCCCTTCGGTTTCCCTGTAACCTCTCCCCAGGATACCTACAATACTTCAAGACTGAATGACTACTCATGTGGTTCCCTGAGAGTTACTGACTCTATTTCTTCTCAAGAGATGGAGGATCATTAGGTCTTACTAGAAGCAATATCACTGCTTCCTAAGACCTCCAGTCCTTACCCTCTGCCCTGACTCTGACCACTAGACTGCTAAGTATTGTCATCTGACCTACTGAAGTATCCGGGTCTTTGCCACCATCTCTGATGGGCTTTTCCACCCACTGTCACTGAAAAACCTTCTGTTATTTTCCTCTACTACTGTGTGAGAACGTTAAAATTAGGAAATGATCAGCTTCTTCTATTTGGATCCCTAGCCCTTAACATAGTTCTTGGCACATTATAAGCACTGAAAAAAATGACATTTCATTCATTCAATCAGTCTGTCCAAAAGAATAATCTTCAAACATGAAAAGTGGAAACAATAGTGATAAAATGTCATTATCTCACATTGGAAAAGTAATTCTTTTCCAAAGAGGTTACCAGATCCTTTCCCAAGTCAGTGACATGGGCAAGGCCGACATTTTTATTACACTGTACAGCTCAGGAAAGTGACCATAATGCTTCAGTGACAGCACCAAAATCATATTTGTATAAGGGGAGGTGGAATCAGAGCCCCCATCTGGTGCCATCCTGTCCAGAGGTCCTGTAACAGCACTGCATGGCTTCTAGACATTTGAGTATGAAGCCTTTCTCTAAATTCCCAACATTGGTTAGAATTTTTACTGTGTGCTGGTTGGTGAAGGATAGAATTAATATTTTTGCATATATTTATGAGGTGTTTTTTTTTTCAGTCACTATCATGGTTAATTTTTGTAAAGGGGCTCAGCTAACTTTATATGTGGATATATTCCCTTAAACTCCCACTAAGAAACTGCCAGAGCTCTATGCAGGCACTTGAGAAGCTGCTCTTAGGGAGATGCAACCCAGCAATTGTTTCCTCAGACGCTGCATTCCCGCCTTCTCAGTAGCCCTAAATACTGAAGACCCTGAAAACAGAGTTCTCACCGTGAAATTCCCTGGCATTCTCAAATGGTGCTTTGGAGTAAACAGAACACTAAATAACGTACTTTACCATCAAGTTTAATGCCACACACCAAAGACATCTCTGTGTGATACGCACCTGAGATTTTTTGGGGTTATCTCCCCTATTAGAATGTGGGTTCTATGGTATTAGAGACTCTCTTGCTTTTCTATTGGTATCCCTGGAAACTAGCACAATATTTTCCATACTATAAAGTGCTTAATGAGTAGGTTTTATTTGTCCATTCAATTAGTCAGTCAATCATTCATTTGTTCATACCATACTTCAGCAGTTACACTTCAATGGCTCTGCCATCACATCAAAGGGGTGCGGCTCTTCCAATGGGTTGATCAGAGTCCACAATCCCTGCCCATCCTGTATAACCCTGTTCTGGGTTTGTCAATATCTTTCCTAATGTGAATGCCTCAAACTGAACACACTGCTGCAGGTGTGGACTGGACTCTTCAGAGTACAGTGGGTCTACCAGCTCCCTAGTATGGTAATTTTGCTTATGGTAACTCTACCCATGGTAACTTCGACCCACGAGCCCAAGTTCACCTCAGCTTTCTTGGTGACCATGTCTCACTGTTGACTGCACTGGCTTTTTCTATAAAAACTGTGGTTTAGACATATCTCTCCCTGCTTATAGCTACGCAGGTAATTTGTCACACTTAAATGTTACACCATGTGCAGCCCAATTAATTCTGTCTCATCAGATTTGGTCCACTGTTCCATTGGTTCATCTGTTCCTGAAGCATTTCCACAGTGTGCCAGAAAGATGACCCAGTCACAGAAGGCAGCATGCATTATTCCAAACCTCCATCTCACACTTTTAAGGTGTTTTGCAAACTCTAGAAGGCAGTGAGCATTTCTAGTTCCTTGTTCCCCAGCCCTTGTTCATGTTGTCCATGTGCTGCAGTTCCTCATTCATGGCCCCTCAGTTTATCTTAGAGCTTTGGGCAGTGTCTTAGACCTATTAGGCAATGGATTATTTGTCCAGTCAATGAACAATTAGGTGAAGCAAGTGGAGATCACCAAGAATGGAAAAATAAAAAGCTCTGTGTCGTACTGTGGACCCCTCTTTCTTCAAGAATGCAGGCAAACATCAAGGAAGAAAGATCAGGAAAATGACATTTGTTGATGAAGAAAGGGTGCAGAGTAGACAGCCTTAGTATCTTTTGAATGATCTTGGGGGCTTTGAGGAGAGTTCTCTGCACAGTATTTCCTGGCGATGACTTTCTGAGGTAATAGTACCCAGTTTCACTCACTCACCTAGACAGGATTTCCTTTGGTATTCTTCCAATATCCATGGTGCTTCCCCTCGGTCCTTAGGAACTGGAAGCCCTACTCATGGTAAATAAGGAAAGGTTAAGCACATAGAGAACCTTAGAATTTGGTCTTCTTCAGAGAAGGGGGCATGCTTAGAAGGGTCAAAAGAGGGTACCTATCCCCCTTAGGTATAGGTATTAGGAGCTATGAAAGGGAAGGAAGAAAATGGAGTCAATCTGGAATCAGAAAATTGGTACTTTGTCCATCTCCCTCTTACAAGGATATGAACTTTTCATACTTTCTAGCCTATGCATTGGAATTTTGTGGAAGTCATCAAGACAGAAAAAAAGATAGGTTTGATGGGCTAGGTCTCTAAGAGTAGGACTTGTAGCAGTGGGATGCAAATTTAAACTTGATATCAGAAAGAAATTTCTAAGGATAAGACACATCCCAAAGGCACCTCAGGAGTTAGGGAGTTCTTCTCATTGTACATCTTCAAAGAAAAGATTGATGCCCATGTTTAGTGAATGTAATTCTGATTTCATATTTCATTTCAAAAATTCCTAGAAATAGTTTCCTATTAGACAAGGCAAGGACTTTTGATATGAGAACAGGAAGGATGAGGACCCTGTTCCTTGGACAGGAAGGGACTAGGAGTCTTTGTTCTCTATTAATGGTTAAAGATGTGATACTTCAAACACTGGATAATAGGTAGGAAGGGAGAGAGCAAAGGTGCTCCTCTTATTGGCCAATTCAGAATCACTGTTGGGGGGAGGAAGGTTTGGGTAGAAGTGCAAACTGTCTTTACCTAGAGAGAGCAAATGCTGGTATGTCTCCAGCATGACATCCCTGTAGAGAGCCTTCTGAGAAAGGTCCAGGAGGTACCACTCCTCTTGGGTGAAGTCCACAGCCACATCCTCATATGTCACTGATTGCTGAAATGACAAAAGTCATAGTATTTAGAGCAGGAAGACACTTTGCAAATCATTTAGTGTTTGCACTTTATAAAGTGGGAAAATGAGGCTTAAAGAAGGTGACAGACTTTCCCAAAGGTCATACTCCTAGTAAGTGTCAGAGCCAACACGTGAAATCCTAACATTAAGGGCCAAATGGAATATTAGGAAAAACAGTTTACATTGGCAACTGGAAGGCAGGTGAGAAATGTCTTCATGAAGATTGTGAAATGTCTCTCCATATGGAGTCAGGAAGAATAAGTGTTTTGTTTGTAATCTATGAGGATTTGTAGAGAAGACAGAGGGAATGAAGGCATTATGAAAATTCTTCCTCAATCAAACTTTCCTAAGTGATGTGTTACAATGAAATCTTATAAATAGAATTGGATGATGAATTTATGAGGACTTGGCAGGTACACCTTATTCTGTAAACAAACAAAACAAAAAACTCCAGTGCAGTACAAAGATTTATCCAGTTAAGGGGCTATATCTAGAGATGAACTTGGTAGGATCAATGCTATGTAGGAACTGAGCCAAGCTTTGAGCCCACTCCCCTGGAGACTAATACACTGGTATAGAGCAAAGGATGACCTTGAGGTGTTGGAAGTCATGCTTTTGCCTTTGTTCTTGTTGTATTTTTGAAGGAACAATCTCTTTGAAAAAGCTTATTGATGTTAAGTGATTAAAAAAAAAAACCGGACCCTAATAAATGAGAACAGAGCCAGTGTGGCCTTGAACCAGTGGTAGGAAGGAGAGATATTACACTTCATACCCCTTGGGGTACCTGAGACCCCAAAGGAGGAGATGTGGGAAGCTTGGCTCTGAGAGACTGACATCAGAACCCACATTTCACGGTCTTTTAGAGCAATCTTGCTAATACTTTCAAATTCTGAGATCTGTTTGCTTTTATCATTTGACTATAAAACTTTTGAGGAGGCCTTTGGTCTCATATATTTCTGTTAACTGCTCATTTAATTTGCATACTAATCCTTTATCCAAGAAATCTGATGCAAAATTCATTTCCCAGTCAATCGTTTCCCTTCTAATCCTAGATGCTTAAGTTTTGTCCATGCAAAGACTTTTCCATTTCATGTAATCAAATGATCTTATCTTTTGTGTTTGATCTTTTATAATTGATACTATTCCTTATTCGATTAAGACTTCATTTTGTGGGGACTTCCAGACAAGATGGCAGTCCAAAGAAAGGCAGACCATCCAGCTTCCATATATACTCTAGCAAAAACCTGAAATTCAAAACAGATCAAACAATGACCAAGAAATCTAATGAAAGATGAGGGTAAGTCTCTTTTAGACAGAAGGAAAGAAATCAGTAGAGAGGAAGTTTGACTACAATGAGTAAGATTTAGTTAGACTGGAAAAGTAGTAAGGTGGTAGGTCATGGAGGGATTACAAAATCAAATATAGTAGCTTATATTTAATTTTGGATGTAATAAAGTTAGAGTCACTAAACATTTATTAAGTGCCTCCTATGTGCTTGATACAGTAATAAGTGCTGGATACAAAAAAAAGGACAAAAGGTAGTCCTTGGCCTCAAAGAACTTCCAGTCCTATAGCTAGGGTGGTAAATAATCTGAGGAGGTGAGAGTTTCAAGGTTTATTTCATCTTGCAGAATGAGTTTCTGGAGATGATGAAACCCAGGAAGGCAGCTAGGTAGGAAATGATAAGAAGAATTCCCTAGGTGCTCTCCTTAAATGGTGGAGGATCAGCAGTAAGCTCCAGATGTCCACCACTCTCCAAATAGGAAGAGGGAAGGGCACCAGTGATGGGTGGTAGTTTGTTGAAGAGGGGTATGAAATAGTCAAATGTGCACTTTTGGAAGACCAGCTGAGTGGAGGATGGGCTGGAGTGGGTATGCTTGAAACAAGAAAACCAATAAGAAGGCTATTTCAGTAGTCCAGGTGTGAGGTAATGAGGGCCTACACCAAGGAGACATATACAAGAGATGAAGTATAGGTAGAATGCATAGGACTTGGCAACTAACTGGATATGGGGGTTGTGGGTGGTAAGAGAAAGTAAGGAGCCAGAAATGACTCCTAGGTTTCAAGCCTGGGTGTCTGGGAGGATGGTGGCATCCTTGACAGTGAGCGGGAAGTTAGGATGAGGGGAATACTTAGGGAGAAAGTAATGGGTTTAGTCTTGGATGTGTCCAAGTTTCACATGTCAGTATGACATCCAGTTCAAAATGTCCAACAAGCAGCTGGAGATGCAAGCTTGGGATAATCCATGGTTAGAGTTTTACAAAATTTGACTGGTGGGAAGACAAGGGAACAAGAGATCTGAAAGAGGAGGAGAGTGTATAGTTGAACTGGTTTAACAAGACATCAATCCTGGGAAGGCAGGGAAGTATAGTCAAAGCAGAGATGATGGTCTGGGAAAATGGTGAGCGAGGTAAGGGCTGAATGAAGCTTACTCATGGTAAGGATGACAAACAGAATTAGGAATAGTAGGCATATGGAGAAATGGAATGGGAAATAATTATGAGTGTTTACAGGAATCACAAAGTTCTTGAAGACAGAGGTCAATGATGACTAGATCAAGGGACTGTTCATCCTTTTGGGTAGATGAGGTGAGGCAAGGTGACATGAACAGGACTACAAGGACAGCTCCTACAATAATGCTGCTCATCCTTCATACTCCAAGAGGTTTGATGATGTCATAATATTGGGGCCAAGGTACTGTGTGTTTGACTGTGGCTGAGCTTGGAAGACTCTACCACAGGTTGGGCATCAATAGTTCATTTGAACATTTGGGATAGTGATGTCTCTAGATTAGAGCATCTTGCATTTCCTATGTGCTACTTTGATTCTGCTCTGCTCATAGAGCACAGTAACTACATAGTAAAGGAAACCACGTGGGAGAGACTTCAGCTCTGCTCAGAGCATGACCAGAAAAGACTAATGTCATTTTGCTTGACTATAATTAGTTTCTAAAAGAGAAAGCCTTAAAGAAAAAAGTGAGGGTAAGGAAACAGAGGTTAGTTTTAGAAATGGGCTAAACAAAATCTACCCAGATTTCTATGTAATAGAGGCTGTTTTCTCTTTGATGGTTTCATATACAATCCTCTTTTGATGTTCTGTGTTGATAGAAATGGTCACGTTTCTTCATGTTTGTCAAGTGTATGAACTGTTGGCACTTACCTGGGATGGGGTCTTCCAGTTGTCAGGGGTCATTGCTTGTGGCTCCATGCTCTCCTCTAGGGCTAGGCCTGGATCTTCAGTGAGCTGAGCTATGGAGAGAGAAAGATGCCTGAGGGGGAGGAGTCCTGCCTTTCTCCTCCCAGGCAAGAGGCTGGTCATCCTCAGAAGGACCAACAAAGAGCAGGATGTCCAGAAGGGTAAGAACTGCTCCCAGGGAAGAGACTCAAACTACAGGAGGTACAGGGAAATTAGGATCAGGCTTGAAAAATTAGAAGGTCTTAAGAGAATCAACATTTTACTTCCTCTGTCATTTCCCCCCATTCTCCTTTGATAACCCAGAAGCAAGAAGGGGCTTGGTGTCCCCAGTGGGCTGAGACCAGCCAAACCTTTGTAGAATTCTTTAGTATCAGACCTCTTTCTGCTGTATTCCCTCCCCCTTCTCCCTCACAAGCTGGATGTCTAGGCATCTGACTTCTGGATCTAGAAGGTAAGGAGGCTTGAGAAGGCTGAAGATGGAGGCCTGGGAATAGCCATGGCAAGGCTGTGCCTGGGAGTGAAAAGGAGTTCAGACTACTGGATTTGGAACAGGAATGGTATCTGGGGAATGCCCAGGATTATGAGAGGGTCTAAGGTAAAGGAGAGGCTGGAAAAGAAACCCTGGGTTCTGGCAGAGGGTTTGAGGGCTATTGAAGAAGTGGGTCCAGGGGAGCAGGAGGCCTGTGTAAGGGGAGCATACGTAGGGTCTGGGAGGCAAGGTTATCTGGGGCACTGAAAAAAAGCTGTGGGGGTAGGGCAAGGAAGCTTGGGCATTTGTAGCCAAAGTGGGAGTTGGGAAGGCAGGATGCCTGGCTCCCTGCATTGGAGGTGAGGCAGAGGAGGATGAGAAGGGGAAGAGGAAGCAGGGAACACAGTGGTTTGGGCAAGCACTACCAAAATTTTCTCCTCTAACACATACTTAACTACGTGAATCCCCTATGCAAAATCAACTCCAGTGACTTCCTCTTGTCTTCTGGATTGAATAGAAATCCTCCTCTTTAGCTTTTAAAGTCCTTGAAAACTTAGATCTAACTTGACTTCCCAGCCTTGTTGGACATTACTTTCATTCTTATACTTTGGTCAAGTTAGTCTGTCCTCTGCTTCTCATATATGATACTACATCTCCCATCTCCATGCCTTTCTACTGTCTACCCCATATATCTAGAATGCTGTCCCTCATTTCCAGAAGGCTGGAAAGGTAGGAGATGAGTAGGCTGTGAAGGATTTTAAGAAGCAAATAGAGGATTTTTATATTTGATGACCCTGGAGGTTATAGGGAGCCACTGGAATTTAGTGTGTGTGTGTGTGTGTGTGTGTGTGTGTGTGTGTATATACGTGTGTGTGTGTGTGTTGTATTATGATCAATCCTGCACTTTAGAAAGGTCACTTAGACAGCTGAGTAGAGGAAGGATGGATATGTGGATAAACATGAACCACAGATTACAATAATCTAGGTTGGTGGTAAAGAGGAGCTGTGTCAGGGGGTGGCTGTGTGGGTATACAGAAGACATTTATGAGAGATGTTGTAAAGGCAGAAATGACAAGATGAGGTGAATGGATGCTAAGGTGGTAGAGATGGGTCACTGGGAAGATGGCGGTGCCCTCTAAAGTGATAACAAAGGTCAGGGGAGTTTTTTTGGGAAAGATAATGGGTTATATTTTGAAAATATGAAATTTGAGATGTCTACCAGATATCTAGTTTGAAATGTTCAAGAGGCAGTTGGAGAGATGAGACTGGAGCTCAGGAGAAAGACTTAGAGCTGGATATATATGCAATGGGGGAGGGGGTGTTCTACTGCCTGTACAGATTAGCTACACTGCTTGTTTCTGGAAGGGTTGTGATGCTGTGGAATGGATGGAAGTGGCTTAGAGAGACTGTGGAGGATGTGAACACATTCTGTAATTGATTCTGGTTAACTCAGCACACGGATAAGAATGGGTAAGAATCAAGGTATGCCCATAGCTGTGTATAACTGAAATGGAGTGGAAGAAGATGTTGTTGGGCACTGAATTCATTAAGGAAGGAAGAAGGTCCTGAGGGTTGATAGGATCTGAACTGGGTGAGGTCAACAGGCAATCACAACTTCATGAAACTTATATAAAAAAACCAGATTTATTACAAAACAAATGAACATGCATGTAGCACCCTAAACAAGTATAAAGAGTTCACAATCCAAACAGAAGCTCGCATATTTATGAAATTGCAACAAAGAGAGGAGGAGAAACAGAAATCTCCACCTAAATGGGAGTGGCAGGTGAGGGGGGAGAAACCATGAATAATTAAGATGGCAAAAGCGGCATTCTTTTCCCTTGGGAACTGCTAAACTATGAAGATATGATGGTCTGCTTATCTACAAAGGTCCCAGCTACACAAGCAGTTTCCCAGTCTAGTGTAGACTGACTGGCATCTGTCTTGACTCCCAAGGACACACAGGCAGTCCAGCTTGGGGTGCAAACAACAAATTATGTCAGCTCATGGCAAGATGGATAGCATGAACCTCAAAAGAGGAGAGGCTACTGAATGATGGTGGTCGAAGGAGAGTTGGGAAATGGAAATGGATTATGAGAGTTCCAACTCCCTCATCACAGAATTGGGGTATAAGTGAAAGTGTAGCCATTAATATAAGCAGTAGGAGAAGAAATATCAACACTTGGCCTCAGCAAATGTTAGAAAAAGGAAAGAAGTGTGAAAGGAAGAGATTTTGGATGAAAGGAAGTCTGTTCTTTTTGGATCAGAAATTCCAGAAAGCACAGTTGAAGGGGTAGGCAGGTCTGGAGTGAGACATCTGGGGAGGTAGGGCTGAAGGGGATGGGAATGAGGGGGCACACGACTGATTTTGGCAAAGGGGCTTCTTTTACACAGCTACGGTTCAGTTTCACAAGAATGAGGACAATAGAAGAGGATGTAATACACCAATGATTAGGAGAGTCCAGGTGGAGAAACAAGAGGTTCCTGGATGAAAGCAGTTGAAGAGAAGGTTAAAGCTGGTGAGGGGTCAGCACAGCCGTCGGGTGTTTCACTCAACTTGTCTCCGAGAATTTGGTCAAGCTTGGCAGTGTTCTGGCCCTAGCCTCATGTTCAAATTGGAAGTCTATCAAGGGAATTCAGAAGAAAGTGATGTGTCTCCTTCTAGAACCCTTCTCCCTTCTAACAGGTAGAAAGCAGAACTGAGTAACCCTTGGGGAATACTGGAAGAATGCTCCAAGTGTGGGATGACTACCCTTCATGGAAAAAAGCTATAGTTACTATTTATGATTGGGCAGGTAGGTGGCACAGTGGATAGAGTGCTGGGCCTGGGGACAGTAAGACTCCTATTTGTGAGTTCAAATCTGGCCTCAGACCTTTCTAGTTCTGTGACCTGCAACAAGTCACTTCACCCTGAGTTTCCTCATCTGTAAAATGTGCTGGGGAAGGAAATGGCAAGCTACCTCAGTATCTTTGCAATAAAAACCCCAAATGAGGCCATGAAGAGTTGGACATGACTGAAAATCAAATGAAACTATTCATGAGCCTACTTACACACAACTGCTAGTTCGATATGCAAATTAGAAGCCAATGAAAAAATAACATAAAAAAGCCTTTTCAAATCATTGGCATTCTGTAGGAAGAAGCTCTAATTTTTTTTTCTAGTGTGTCACATCAATTTACTAAGAAACAAAACTTTTAGTGTTGACAGTATTCTAAATCTGATTATTCAAATGGATTACGGCTGTAACTATTCTAAAATTACCCTGTAATGAAAATAGTAGCTCACCTCTCTGTAGTGCTTTAAGGTATGAACATCCCTTTATATTTATTTTGTCACTGATCAAAACCTTTTCCTCAGTTTATTTAGATATGTGATTAGGTCCTTGTTTTCTTTTGGAGCAGCCTCACTCATGGGGATCTTCTCTTGGCACTAATGTCACTTGCCATCACACGTCTCTCTGGACATGACATTTTCTAGAGTCCCTACCTTCAGAAATGCCCCAAGCTGGACATGCCCAAAGTCCATGAGGATGGGAATTTTTGTGCCCTTGCATGATTAGGAAGCTACTTTAAAGAGGCAGTGGGCAATCAAGCCCAGGGACAGCTTTCACCCTTTTAAGGAAAACTAATTCCTACTTTGAGGCAGCAGGGAGTCCTGGTCCTATCAGAGTGATCTTCTGTAGATGCACTGTCATCTGTAACCTATATGCCAGGCACCATGCTAAAACTGGGGAAGCAATCATTAAAAACAAAGACAGTTTCTGCCTTCAAGAAGCTTACAGTGTTATAGGGGAAAATAATACACAATAAGAAGCTAAAAGATCAGACTGCGCTGATGAGGATTGAGTATGAAGACTGGTACAATCTTACAGAATGATGAGTTTTCTGATTATGAGGTTGTTGGGGGAGCATTATGGCATTCACCCCAAAGGAATGAAGGCAAGTGACATACTTGTGAAGTTATAATCTTTCAAATTTAAAGTAAAAAGGAATTCTTCTTCTTCTTTGTATTGTAAGGATGCCAGTCCAAATCTATACAAGCAACAGTTAGCTCCAGATGATAACATGAATCCTAGAAACAGCCATTATAGTACTCCTCAATTCAAATAATTTCCTCAGTACCATAACATCTCCCAATAACCAATATTCCCAAATAACCAATGTATATAGAATGCTTCTGGTTCACAACCTAGAACTAATGAATCTTCAAATCATATTTATCAAGGCATTTATAGAACCTTAAGCTCTCAACAAGCATTTATTAAATATCACAAAGGTACCAGGCATTATGCTAGGTCCTGAAGCTATAAAGACCACAGTAAATAAATGAAAAATAAAATAAATTTTTAAAAAGACAGTAGGAAAGCAGTTCCTGACTCCAAGGAATGTAGAATGTAGCCAGAGGAGATAACATGGACCTCAAAAATAGACCACAAAGAGCTACACAGTGATTTTGGGCAAGGCACAGGTGGTTGGGGGCATAAGAACGGGTCTCATATAAAAGGTTGTTCTTGTACCAAGCCTTGAAGGAAATGAGGGATTTTGAGAAATGGCAGCTAGGAGGCATAGGAGACCAGAGAATGA